AAAAAAAAAAAAAAAAAAAAAGAAAAATCAGGAAATAGACTCTGGTGTAGTGTCAGGAATGTTATATTGCTTTGTCCCCACAGCAGACATTCTTAATCAGTTGAGCTCCAAGTCCTGTGTGGAGCCTCATCTTCAGGATTTAAGAAGTTAGAATAGCATGTAAAATGATGCCATTGTGGTTCTAGTATCTTCCTGGTCAGAAAAAAAGAGGCACAACTTAGGAATCAACAGTCGTCTCCAGGTACCACCAAAGTGCCACTTGTTAGAACCAAGTAGTCAACAGTCTGATCTCACGGACTGTGGAAGATCCTAAAACCTTCTCCTCCCAAAAATCCCTCTGCTTCTTCTGAGCTCTCTGACTCCTGAGATTTTAAATTAGGGGTTACATTCATTGTCTTCACATCTCAATGGCTGTTTATAATACAAGCATAGAGCTTTTAAATTTCTTTGGCAGGAAACATGAGAAGCAGTAGCTTCCTTTGGGGGAAAAGGTCTAAAGAGAATGAAATGGCTGGCTTTTATTTCTCATTTTGTCATTTTCCTTAGGTTGAACTTACTAAATACATTTAAAATTAAAGTGTAATAAGTTGGATTTTTTTTGTTTTGTTTTGATTTGGAGTCTTGCTCTGTCAACCAGGCTGAAGTGCAGTGATGCACTAAGTGAAGTAAGTCAGACACAAAAAGACAAATACTTATATGTGAAATCCAAAAAAGTCAAATTCACAGAAGCAGAGAGTAGAATGATAATTGTCACAGTCTGGGAGGTGAAGAAAGTGGGGAGATCTTGGTTAAAGAGTACAACGTGGGTCTGGTATTTTCCTGGTCAGATTCCTGCCTATTCAGATTGCCCATTTTAAAATCGGGCCATTTGGTTTTTTTACTATCAAATTGCTTGAGTTCAATGTATTTCAATCTTGGCTCACTGCAGCCTCCGCCTTCCAGGTTCAAGCAATTCCCTGCCTCAGCCTCCTGAGTAGCTGGGATTACAGGCATATGCCACCAAGCCTGGCTAATTTTTGTATTTTTAGTAGAGATGGGGTTTCGCCATGTTGGCCAGGCTGGTCTCAAATGCCGGTCCTCAAGTGATCCACCCACCTCCATCTCCCAAAGTGCTGGGATTACAAGCGTGAGCCACCTTGCCTGGACAATAAGTTGAATTTTTAAATTTTATGCATGAGGTCTTTTTTGCCACCTTAATTAAGGTATAATTGACAAAAACCATATATATTTAAGGTGTGCAGCACAATGTTTCAGTATACATACACATTGTGAAATGATCACCTAAGTAACATATCCATCAGCTCTCATAGTTTTTTGCATGTGTGCTGAAAACATTTAATATGTACACTCTTAGCAATCTTCAGTATACAATATAGTATTACACTATAGCAATACAACTACATAGTACTGTAATGCAACTATAGTCACCATACTCTGTGTTACATCTCCAGAACTTAGTCATCCTGCATAACTAAAATGTTGTACTCTTTAACCAAGATCTCCCCATTTTCTTTACCTCTCAGACTGTGACAATTATCATTCTACTCTCTGCTTTTATGAATTTGACTTTTTTGGATTTCACATATAAGTGAATCATGCAGTATTTGTCTTTTTGTGCCTGGCTTATTTCACTTAGTCTAATGTCTTCCAGGTTAATCCATATTGTTGCAAATAACAGGATTTCCTTCTGTTATAAGGTGGATAAGATTTCACTACACACACACACACATACAGACACACTTTATTCATCGGTAAACACTTGAGTTGATTGTCTCTCTTGTCTATTGTGAATAATGCTGCAATAAATATGGGAGTGTACATAGCTCCTTGAGATACTAATTTAGCTTTCTTTGGGTATATATCTTGAAGTGGAATTGCTGGATTATATAGTAGGGTTATTTTTGATGTGTTAAGGAAACTTCATACTATTTTCTGTAGGGGCTGTACCAATTATATTGCCACCAAAATTGTACAAGGGTTTCCTTTTTTTCCCACATCCTTGCCAACACTTGATATCTTTGATAATAGCCATTCTAACAGCTGTGAAGTATAGATATCTTATTGTGGTTTTGATTTGCATTTCCTTGATGATTAGTGATGGTGAGCGTTTCTTCACATATCTGTTTGCTATTTGTATGTCTTCTTTTGAGAAATGCCTATTTAAAGTGCCCATTTTAAAACTGGGCCATTTGTTTTTTTGCTATCAAATTGTTTGAGTTCAATATATTTCAGATATTGACCCTTCACCAGATATATCCTCTGCAAACGCTTTTTCTCATTCCATAGATTGCTCTTCGTTCTGTGCAGAAGCTTTTTAGTTTTAAGCAATCCCATTTGTCTATTTTTTTTTCTGTTGCCTGAATTTTGAGGGCTATATCCAAAAAATCATTGACCAGGTGAGCGTCAAGAAGATTTTCCTGCATGTTTTAATCTAGTAGTTTTACAGTTTCAGGTTTTATTTTAAGTCTTTAATTCATTTTGAGTTGATTTTTGTATATGGTGTGAGATAAGGGTTCAATTTTATTCTTCTGCATGTGGATACACAGTTTTCCCAGCACCATTTATTGAAGAGACTATCCTTTCCCTATTGTGAGTTCTTGGCGCCTGTGTCAAAGACTAACTGACTGTAAATATGTAGATTTATTTCTGAGCTCTCTATTCTGTTATGTCTGCCCTGATCTGATCTTTATTATTTCCTTCCTTCTGTTAGCTTTGGGCTTAGTTCATTCCTCATTTTCTAGTTCCTTGAGTTGTCAAGTTAGGTTGTTCATTTGAAACCGTTTTTTTTTTTTTTCTTAATGTAAACCTTTATCACCATAAACTTCTATCTTAGAACTTTTGCTGAATCCCATACATTTTAGCATGTTTTGTTTCCATTTTTGTCTCAAGATGTTTTTCTTTTTTTCCCTTTTGACTTCTTCTTTGATCCATTGGTTATTCATGAGTGTGTTGTTTAATTTTCACATATTTGTGAATTTTCCAAGTTTACTTTTTATTGATTTCTAGTTCCATACCATTGTGCACTGTGAGCGGAAAAGATACTTGATATGATTTCAATTTTCTTAAGTTTTTTAACATTTGTTTTGAAGACTAACATGTGATCTCTACTGAAGAATGTTCTATGTGCACTTAAAAAGAATGTGCATTCTAGGCCAGTTGTAGTGGCTCATGCCTTTAATGACTGCAATCCAGCACTTTGGGAGGGCAAGGAGGGTAGATTGCTTGAGCTTGGAAGTTCAAGGTCAGCCTGGGAAATATGGCAAAGCCCCAGCTCTACAAAAAAATACAAAAATTAGCTGGGCATTGTGGTGTATGCCTGTAGTCCCTGCTGCTCAGGAGGCTGAGGTGAGAAGATGGCTTTAGCCCAGGAGATTGACGCTACAGTGAGCCAAGATCATGCTACTGCACTTCAGCCTGGGTGACAGAGTGAGATCTGTCTCGAAAAAAAAAAAAAAAATAGTGTGTATTCTGCTGCTGTTAGATGGAATGTTCTATACCTGTCTGTTAGGTCCATTTGGTCTGTAATATTCCAGTCCGCTGTTTCCTTATTGATTTTCTGCCCATCTATCTATTGTTGAAAGTCAGGTATTAAAGTTGCTACTATTACTGTAATGCTATCTATTTCTTCTTTCAGGTCTGTTAAGATTTACTTTATATTTAGGTGCTCCCATGAGTTTTTTTTTTTTTTTTTTTTTTTTTTTTTTTTTCATGGTTTTTTTTTTTATCATTTTCTTTCTGCTTAGAGAATTTTCT